GAACATATTTTGCCATATCGAATTCCAATAATTGATAGGAGATCATAGTGACGTCTTTTTCTAATATGTCAAGTATATATTATAAAATTATCATGACTACCATCGGGTACCTCCGCTAGTATATATATATATGTCGGATGAAAGAAACTGATAACGTTGCGCCATATACCATTGATATGACACAGGTATCAATAGTTCATTGTCACATATTGTTGTAATTCCTTATCGTTGTTTCGTAAAATGCATGTCGTAGACTAGAAAGCAGCTAAAATTACGATAAAAGTGATTCATTCTGCGTAAAAATATTTTTACACCTAAACTATGTAAATGCGACGTAAATCCGTCGGTGACGGGTATATTAATCAATACATTAGTTCACAGTATAGAAAAATTCAGAATATGAACGAACTAATGATAAGTAAAGCGGCATATATTATTGATAACTGTAACAATTAAATATCACGTAGGAAAACTTAGCGCTATTTCTACATGACTGTTTACGAGCAAATACAGCTTTTTCTACTCAATTTCGACGTTTTACGCTCGTCTGCGATTCATTCGTGCATATGTGATGGATCTCCAGGATATGACTACGTCCAGATATCAAGTCTCAATGGAAAAATACAACACTCAGTTGCCCAGATCTCATAGATGCCCTTATGTAATAATAGGCTGTAGAGTGTGTGCGGATGTGGGTGTGTGAGTTTCGGTGTGGGTGCGGAATAGAAGAAGGATCATAACCACACCCACCCAGTTAGACTAGAATAGAGATCTTAATCTTCGTTTAGTGTCAGAGAACATCACCGATGATAGCACACTGTTGTACGATTCCTTTCAGTTTTATGACACTCTTCATGGCATAGTAGAAATCAGTAACGATAAATAGTCATTGTTGTTCGTTGCATTCCAGTAGAGATTTCTCTTACTGGTTAGTGTCAGAGATCGGAACTGAATCGAATCGAATCAAACATTTTTTTAATGGGGTAGAATTAAATTGAGATCTCTTTATTTGTTTTGGTCTCTATTACATGTCAAGTTACATTATTAAAACAAGTTTGAATAATTGTTTTGCGCTGAATGTAGAACTGGACAAAATATTCGATGCATGCGTACTCGAGTATCAAGCACTGCAAAATGTAAGGAAGGCTAAGACCTTGTTTTCGCTCCGAAGATATTTAAAGTTAATATTTTGAAGTCTATTCAGTGGCGACTCATGATAGGATTCCAGTAGTTTATTTTGCCGTGTCTCTCCAGCGATTTCTTTTTCTAGTCATACCTGAAACCCATAGAAAGATGACTAAAAGAGAGGAAAAAAAGAATTAAGTTGATGTGTGGAAGAAAGTAATAGATTGATTTGATTTCTGCTCGAAAATGTGTACAAAAAAAAAGTTTTAAGGATTTAGACAAACGCCACGAAGAAAACTTTTGTCTTGTGCGCAACTTTTCAGATTCGTTTCAATAATTTAATTTTTATTGTGTCTGCATGATATAAAAAAAAAACTTCCAAGATTTTGATGAGTCTTCAGACAGATTTATTCCAAATGGATCATAGACTACTATGCATTCTGATAAAAGCAACTAGATGTGACGAAAGATTATCTACATAACACATATTTGTTGAATTAATTAGACGAGCACATCGACATTTTAGCGAGAGCTTTTGAGTAGTTCGTAGAAGCTCTTTGATTTCAAGCGTGCGCGCTCGATCTTCCGGTCGGCAATTTGTATAATCGATACAATCAATGTGAGCACCTGCACCAAAGAGAAGTTCAATGACAGATCTTGCAAGATCAACGTTATCACAGTCAGCAATCATATGCAATGGCGTACATTTGGTATCCGGATCAGCTTCGTCTACATTTGCTCCACAGTCAATCAACAGACGAATAACTGACAGAGTTGAAATGCTAAAATAGACAGAATTCTGTTTACAAAGAAAGAACTTGTCCAAACATAGTCTCAGCGTGTGACATGTAGAAATGTTCCACAAATTTTTCTTCTTGCATTTTTATAGTGAATCATCTACTATGCCTATTTTTTCAATTGAATAAAGCGTCTTGCTAATATTAAGACTTTTTTTGTTTCGAAACTACGCGAAGGGGTCAATGCTTGAGAGAAAAACTACCTTTTCGAGGCGACTGTGTAAACACTTGACATGTATTTAATATCATTGATGCATACTTTAAGAAGAGAATAGCCATTCAGCATGATAACATTTTGATGTAAAGTTCGTCGTATAAGACCATGAAAGATGTGCAGTTCATTATCATTTACTTTTCTCGATTCAATAATCTACAAAATGCAAAACAAAACATTCATTTTGATGTTCAACAAAAATCTAATTGTGCTTACAATATTCAACTAGATAGGAACTATTTGAAACTTATATTGGCAAAATAAAAATCTTTGTAAAGATTCTTCAAATGAATTGGTTAACATAGTTCAATGTATTGTCCTTATAGTCGGTTTATTTTTTGGACTGTATAAACAAAAATGAGTAACTTTGATAGATTTGAAATGATTGATATGTTAGTCTTTAAGAGGCATGACCATTTTCCCACATACTGAAAATCTATAAATAATTTGTATAGCACTTATGTAAAGTTTTCTGTCATGATCAATCGATAAAAAAGTGAATGTTTTCAATTTTGAAATAGTCGAAAATCTGCAAAAGTCAATGAAATTTACAATGCATCGTTTTCAAAAAGACAAAGATATGTGTCAGTTATTCAATTCTGGAAGTTCATATTGGTTTAGTATGATCGCAAGCTCACTTTAGAAGTTTTCCACATATCTATTGATAGGATGAAATGAAATATTCTACGTCGAAAAATAAGATACTCAACATTTTAATTAGAGAAATGGCAGATATGAATTTTGCAAACATTGAAAATATTAATTCAATAATGTTTTCTTTACGCATGTTCGTTAATTTGAATTCTTTTCCTAATACCAAAACATGGTTAGAGTTAAACTTCTACTAAAACTTCCATAACCTATCATATGATGCAAGCTCGATATTGTCTGATAATTGTGTCTACTATTATTCCTCAGTGCTCATTCAATTAAGAAGACACTTACATAAGTAGCGATGATTATGAGATTGAACACATTATGACCTAGTTGTTTATCTGCTCGATCGAGTATCCATGTCCAAATAAGTTTTACATACTCGGTAGGTATAGTGTCTTCTTGATGCAATATTTTGAATAAAATTCTTAAGAGCTCATTATGATAGTTTCTATGCCATTTGGGATCATGCCAATCATTGTGTTTCATTTGCCTTGCCAATTGATAAGCATGTAATCGTAATTGGAGACAACGATGTAATCGACCGTGATGCCTGTAGAAATAGCTTTGTTTGAGCATTAGTCGAAGATGAAAATTAATATCACCACTTTTAAGTGAAATTCGTTCACTAACGAGCAGTGCATGCATTCTCATTGCGTTATCATCGCTTCGTATGGCGGCGAGTTCATCAAGTGTCCGGCATTCATTGAAACACTCGTACGCTTTGCAGATCACATTATTGCACAATGGTATCATCATACTCAGAAGTTTTTCGAAATAACAATAGGCTTGGTTGCGTCTGCTTGCATAACCATCAATTGTATATTTACAGGCGAGCAATGCCAATTCTTCTAGAGCTTGTTGACGAGGTAAGATATCCAAAAGTATATCTACTATAGGTATTTTATTGAAGTTGGCAGCTACCATTAGTGGTGTGAAACCAAAATGATTTTTGCTAAAACGTCCATTTTGATGGTGGATGAGTGCTTTGGCAATCTCGATGTGCCTTTTATGTATAGCATATTCAAGAGCAGTTCTATTTTTGTAATCAAGTGTAGTTGAATCAGCGCCATGTTTGAGCAGTAAATTGACTATAGCAAGATGATTACGACGAGAAGCCGCATGTAGAGCTGTCTCATTGTAATTTTTGACAGATCGATTTGGATCACATCCTATATTTAAGAGATATTCGACAATGTTTGTGTGCCCATTTTGAGCAGCAACTATCAAAACTCCACACTTTGCAATATGTGCATGACCATGTTCAATTAGCTGCTGCACCACATTGAGGTCTCCTTTTCTGCATGCATACCAAAGCGCTGTTCTGCCGGTTGAACAGACGTGATCTACAATTGTTGCATAGATAGTGCCACGAAAGATATTGTCTAACACTACTTGAATACATTCGGAATGTCCATGTTCAATTGCGTGAGTAAGCATCGTATGTTGATGTCGCATTTTAACCCAATGACGTTCACCTGACCAATGTTTTATTTGAGTGTAAGGAACATATATATGTGTTAAAAGGGCGTCAAGATGATTAGCATCATTATTATTGATAGCATCCTGTATCATATGTTTTATCGGTGTCTTAGCATTGGAGTAACAGCGAATCCGACCATTCCTATACTTATCATATTGTCTAAGTTTATTCACTTTAAAACGACTATGAAAATTAGTCAATTCTTGTCTTTTCCATGTTCGTCCTGGCGTACGTTTTCGTTCTGTATAACCTTAAAAAAACCAAAAAACATTTGAAGAATGAATTTTACTATTTGCATTTTGGTTCTTTTCAAAGTAGCACGTAAAAAAAAAACTATGGGACTGATTAAAATTGACGTAACATACGTGATGATGAATGTAGTGGGTTGAGCTTTCTAAATTCTTTTGTTTGAATAGTATATCTATGTTGGTGTTGGAGTTGAGCACATTTGCGTTCATCGGACGTATCCAAAAGACTTGTGCTCGTGAACAGTAATTCATTTTGGGTATTTGTTACTGTCATGAAAAATATGTGCTGTTGAAATTGCACTAGCGAGTTTTATTTCAAGTTATCGATGAAAGAAGAGTGATGAAATAGAATACAGTCAGAGACAATTATTCAAACTATATATATATATACTCTATATTGGAAATTTGTATTGTTTTGCAGCATTCTATGATTTACTTTACGAAACTGAAGAATGCACAAACAAACCGAACATTATTTATACATCGTGTATGAAATTGGTTTTCTTTGGTGCAATACCTGAGAAAACAAAATTTCATAGGCAAAGATGAAAACCAATCAGCATGCAGATATTAAAATAAAGTGTGTCGCATATGTCGTAGTTTGAAACGCAATATTTGACATATTAAAGTGAGACACGTAGTGTTGGTTGCAACACATTTTGAAAGCATGGTTCGAATCCAGCCTTCAGCGCATTTGTCATTTGGTCTTTAGAAACGAATAATTACTGTTTTTTTTCAGTTTAATTCAAATCAATGATACGTCTTCTTAAAACTCAATGGAGTTAGATGTTGGTAATCTAGCCGCGCCGAGTTCATCTGATGTCGATTATACCGCTTCAAGGTAGTCATTTATCGATCGTTGATTCATGTCTCGACATGTTCTCGTTCAATAAACAAGAGACGAACGTATACGAAAATATATAAGTTCAGTATGTTTAATTAATTGGGATGAATATAGAAGTAGTATGCACAGAACAAAACGGTGAATGAAGTAGCTAGTGGACAGATTCAACAAATGTTGACTGCAACACATTTTATTGTACTATTATGCATGTTTTTCTTTCAATTTAATTGAGTTCACACTGCCACATTCATTTTCGTCATCTTCCTTGGTATATATACACGCGATATCATTTTTGATTATGATGCGAGAAGGCCAAATCTCGAATGCCTCATAAATTCATGATCTTATGGTTTTCATACTCATTCACTATTCTCAATGCGAAAAACTGCTCAGTGAATAACAAAATGATGACGCAAAATAAAAATAAAAATGCCATTTTCCACAACGTAACGGACATTATTTTTGATGTTTATTAAAATTCATTGATGCAAACTAGAATTTTAATTTATCAAAATGATTAATTTTACGTGATAGTTGTCTGATGAAAATCAGTAAAAATGCACGAAAATCTCATCATGGAATGAATAAAAATGGTACTAACTATTTATTTCACCTAATTTAACTATGCACCTGCGTTGGTAGTTATATCCAGTAGTTTTTACAAGTCTACACTTATTAGTATTCGAGAGGCTCTGCGATGAACTTTCAAGAGTTTCTCTTACTTTACTGTCGCATTAAATAGCCAAGTACATATAGTATTAAAAATACTCGACAAACTTTAGAAACAGCAGAAAACGGCATTGCCCCTGTTCTAACACATTCCGTTTGTTAAGAAAGTGGTATTGATAAGGATACATTCGTCGATAATATTCAAATTAATCATTTTCATCATTTATTTTCAAAAACAAAATGGTGACACATGATGTTTTCCATACGAATGTTATTGATTAAAATCCTTTTTCGTTGAAAACGGTATGCAACTTCTAAATCATTTGAAAAAAGATTGAAACAGAATGTTTCCAATGTAAAAGTATAATGCAACGATTTTTGTTTTCCAGAATAATCAAAATCATACAATGGCAATGACGTCAAAGTCATCAATCCAATATGATGATTCTAGTTCTTTCGAAAGAATGAAACTAATGTAATAGTTTTACCTTTTGGAAATACCCGAAGTCACGTAATGAAAATCATGTCAAACTAATAACACGAATGCAGTTAGTTTACTTTTTTTTTTTTTAAATAAGTGAGTTCATGAAATGAGAATGATATCAAGATGAAAAACTAATTGAATGACTTTGATGCTTTTGAAATAACTAAAAACATACAATTGAGAAAGTTGTTAATGTCCTTGAAAAGACAATTTTATTCATATGAATGAAAGTCATCTTTGATGATTTTTAACATTTAATCTTCTGCCTACGATAGTAAAAGAAATGACAGTGAAATACAGAACATTATAAGTTTTTTTTTAATTGTACAATTATGAAAATAGTTGATTTTTCATTATTTCATCAAATGATTTTCTTTTCCTCATCAAATAATTAAGTGATTTAATTCAAAATCTTACTGTGTTATTATTTTATTGAACAAAAACAAGGCAACTTTACATTGATCAAGGATGTTTTTGAAAAATAAGCCATCGGCTTTGTTCTTGTCTACATCTTCACAGATTTCTCTATCTATTATCTTTTATATAGTTGAACGAATAAATAATTTTTAAACTGTAAAATTCAAAGAATCGATTTTTAATCATGTTTTCACGAAGAAATTTTACAACTTTTCTGTACTTTGTTTACATGAATAGTTTAATTAAAACGATAATATGTATTTATCAAATCATAAGCTCAGTAAACCAATGATGACTTTCACAGGGAGGAGTATTCGCTGAAAATTTGAGCTCAATCTGACAGAAGCTATTTGTAGCGTTCACAAAATTGAGAAAGCCTCCTTGCAAGAACATTTTCTGCATAAAAGTGAAGATTTTATTTTCAAGAGAAACACTTTTTTTCTTATATATGGCTAGATACAACTGGACTAGCTGATTCCAAAATATCGCCTTGACTTTACACCAAAATGATGTCTTCTTTACAAAAATAGAGATTCGAAGGCGAAAATCTCAATTCCAGAAGACCTGTAGCATCAGATCTGCTTATCAGTGGGAAGTGGCACTATGGGCAAGAATGAATTAGATTTGAGAAAATACTCTGGAAAAGTTTCAGAACAATCGAACATGAGTTGAGTTGAGCGTTTAAATAATGCAGATAGGCTGTTTTTCAGAATCTTGTCGAAGGCAGAAACTAACTTTGTTTTTTCGAGAAACACTAGCTACTATACATGGTTCAGTGCAGCTCGGCCAGTTGAATTCGAATACCACCTTCGAGTTGCTTGAAAATGTTTCTATATTCGTAAAACTAGAGCTTCTAGGACAGAAACGTGGTTCTTGGGAGAACTACTAACGTCATTTCTGTTCACTGGTACGGTTTGACGCTATGACCATCAATCAATAAGATATAAAAGAACAATTAAAGAAAGTTTGAGATAAATCGAACGTAAATTGGGTTTACAAAATACAGTATGACAGATTTTTCGACCTATTTTCGGCCATGTAATCACTGCTTCGCTATTCCGTTTCTAGATATATTCAAGTAATTTTTTCACACAATGAAATTTCGTAGCCAATTATTTGTTTCACATAGTTATTCATTTAAAAATAAGTCGGCAACTTAGCGATAGTAATGATTTCCGTGTAATTATCGATTTAAAAACACGTTTTTTTATTGTGGTGGGTGTCACCTGCATTTGGCTTGATTTCTGAAGATCTTATTGCAGATTAAGAGAGATCAACCATAAATGCATTTATTCTAATATTTGAATTTTGGCTAACGAGGGAGGTACCCGAAGTGATTAATCGGTTTTGAGTTCGAACTCTGTGCATAAGGTAGATCCCAGTAAGATATTAAAAACCCCAAAAAGATAAGGGCCCATAGGCCTTTCGTTCAGAGTTATAGCCATTTTACTGGAATTTTCGCCTATAGCATAGTATACGCTAACAAATCGAATGACGATATTTCGATCTGAAATTTCGTCTACGAATAGGTCTACTTGTAACTAACGTGCTCTGAAAATTCCAGCTAAAAGATATGTTTTCTTCACGAGATATTGAACCTTGAAAAATACAGNATAGTTTTTGATATAGATGTCTCATTTTCGAGTCGTCGGAAGCCATCGAATAATTGCAGAGAAGAAGATTTGAACATGGGTACTTACGATTGATAGTCATTGAACATCTAAACTAAATATGGATTATTTTTCTGTTGTGAAAATTCCCTTTTCAATTCTTAGTAAGATAAGACTTCACTATTTTAGTTTCTAACATTTTTTTAAAATTTGAAACGAAAATTGTGATTAAACTAGATCATGTTTTTCATGTCCCTAGTCTCGAATCTAATTTTATTTTCAACATCTGATGGCGTACAAGCAGTGTAATTTGTATTTCTAGTTGATAAACAGTCGCGTTTCATGAAAAGCTATACAATAAATATTGGTAAAAAAAATTTCAAAGATTCGATGATACAGTTTTGAACATTTGAGTGTTTTTCAGTATGCGTTCACTTGTTGATTTAAACGATTGTATTCAGTCATTAAATGCCTTAAAAATACATGTCAAACATAAATCCATCTATTAAGTTAGTTGAGTGGAAGAGAGATATGCAAATATTGTTTGAATGGCTTTTATCAAATTTGAACTGACTTTCATACTAGGAATTGTTATTATATTACACTTGCTTGTGTTAGAGAACTCTATACGGTTCTTTCGATGTTTCTTTTTCCAGAGTACTCGGAATATCTATAGCTCTTCGACGAGTCGGTTGCATCTTTTCGATAGGGCAATTTTCGAGTGTTCGGAATTCGATAGTTTTCGATGGACTCGGAATCGAAACAGAACGAATAAAAAATATATAGTTCACATTTTCGAGGGCTCATCGCACGCATCGCATGTATTTTAGTGTCTGCTTGGGTATGATTCAAATACTAGGGTGTGGGTGTGTATGTGGATGTCCTGGTAGTATTCTTCTTTTATCTAGATGTACACCCACACCCGCACCTCACCCTGTGAACCGAGTGTTACAAGTTGTATCCGTACTTGCCCATCTCTGGAATGATTATACGATATAAAGGTGAAGAATAAAGTATAATACCATCCACACTAATACCTTTTCTATCGAAACATCGCCACATTGGTCAAGTTTTATTTTCTCTGTTTGTTTCAAAGAAAATCTAAAAATAGATTAACACCTTGTGTCTAGTAATAAAAGATGGCAATAGAGTGAACCCAAAATATCAAAGAATGTGTCGAGTCCGTTATGTGTTAACAAAGAGAATGATTCTATTTTTTTCCTGTATTCACAGTTCTCATATTGTGTGTGCTATTGTTGAAAGATAATTATGCAATTTTGAAGCGAATAATTTAAAACGATGTGAAACAGAAGACATGAACTGAAGAATGATTATCTAGATATTATAGACAAAAGGAATATCAGATATATAATACGTAATCTTCTCTCACTTGTCAAATACTAACTGTAACTTATTTTCTTTTTAATAGCTATTCAATTATCATTAGTTATTCACCTTTGTTTTCGTTATCAATTATTCGTTCCATATAATAACCAATATAGTACAATAATACTGCAGAATTATCAGACATATATCTTTCAGAATGTAGAATGAGTATATTTACTCGAGCCAATCTTCATGAAGAAAATTGGATGGATTAGACGATATAATCTTCATAAAAAATAAGATTGCTTTGAGCAAAACTCATGCGCTTTTAATAAGAATCGATAAAAATAACCTTTTTCTAGGCGTCTCAACTCCCTTTTCCATTCATAGAAGAGAGAGAATATTTTTTTTTTAAATTAAGTTGATTATTTTTTTCTGCTTCTATCTCTTGTTAAATTATTTTCATAATCCGAGTGTGTATTTTTCAATTCATTTTCTTTCTCGCTATTTGGTGGATACAAGAATTGAGTGAAGCTCAAACTTTTGCACGATTTTTGATCATATCATAATGGATGTTTTTGAAATATTCTCATCCGTTTTCATGCTTTTATGTAGTATATTAGGTGTTGTATGTGCATTTATATTTATTGGTATAGTCATTTGCTCTCGACAATGTCGCACAATAACTATTCTACTTGTTCTAAATTCGACAGCGGCTAACTTGATCATTAATTTTGCCTGTGGTTCTCAAGCATTTTATCAATTGGCAAGTGATGGTAATGATAGGTTATGTGAACTGAGAGGTTTCTTTATTCATCTCGGAACATCTCTTCTATATCATACACTATGTGTACAAGCACTTCATCGTCTTTTTGTTACTGTATTAGCTAGACAACGATATCTTCAATCAACACGTGTTATTATATTTCTTGTTATTTTACAGTGGTTGATGTCATTGGGCCTATGCCTTCCCATGCTTCTGACTGGACACATTGTGTATCATCCAAAGAGTCGCATTTGTCAGGTTTGTTGCATATACAGCATCTTCCCGAAAAGATAAAAAGAATAATTTGTTTATTTAGATATATTGAGTCTTGATTTTTATTCTATTAAAAACTGACTAATATCTACTGAAATCACTAAGGAACTAGAAAATCTAGATAAGGACTTGATTGCATCGTCTCGTACAAGTCACACTTCTTTTTGATACCAAAGGAACAGTCAGCCTGTTTTAAATAAAGTTCTCGATTGTTCAATATATCTAAATTGCGGTAAATATATGCGAACTACTAAATAGATCAGATGCAATGTTTCACGAACTTTCCAGAAAATTGATAAATTGCTTGAAAAGTGCATCGATATAAGGAAGAATATCACTAGCTGGCGTGCAACATGAAATTTTATTTATGGTTAGATCTAGGGATTGTTAGAACCTTTGAAAAAGTAATAGAAAAAGTTGCCAATACTTGTACTCATTTGTCAGGCATTTAGAAAAGCTGATCTTTTCAATTATCTCTTGTATATGGTAGGAGTTACTCATTTGGGCTGAAATATAACTTTAACTTGAGAAACTATCATACTTGTCTTTTCGATAACGTTCAAAAAGAGAAACACTGCCATTCAATTGATCTCGACATATCTTGTTTGGAAATATGCGCTTTAATTAAAAACAGACGGTGTACAAAAATGACTTATTCTAGATTTTTCCAGTCTCAATAATTATTCTTAAATGAGAAAACTTAATCCCTAAAGCACTCTGCTATCTCAGTAGGCTTATTCGCTAATATAAATAATCATGACAAATAAATCCTTCCATTTAATCTCGACAATATGGGGAAATATTCTTTGCATATTATAGGTAGCAATGAGTGATTTCTTTGTTCTTCTTGGTTTGGCAGTATTTGTCTATCTCTGTCCACTCATATGGATCGGCATAGTCTATATTCAAATTGTACGATATGCAAAATATAATATATCAATAACTATTCGTCGATGTCTAGTCCAAAAACAACAACGTGAAGTTCGTCTTATTCGTCGTATTCTCACGCTTTTTGGTATTCTTTTAATTATGGGTTTTCCTTATTTTGTTTTCTTTCTCATGGTTCAATTTACTCAGTCACCAGCACCATCTTATGGTCTACGACTCAGTTTTGTGTTTCTTTCATTCGGTTATGGCATTTGTTCATTACTCAATTTATTATATACAGATGACGTGAGAAAAAATATATTGAATAGAATAAACATATGTCGATGCCATAATAGACAGGCTCGAGTACAATGTGTGAACACTATCAATGTTGCTAATTAAATACATTTTTCTATAAACAGATGATAGATATTTATTTTAGAATGGTGTATTCGTGCAACATTGTTATCTATGTGTGTATTCAAATAAATATTATTACTCAAAGGTCTTAGATCCAGTGGCGTAGCCAGGATTTTTAGACCAATGGGCAAACTTCTTTTGTGCTAGAAAAAAATGATGGGCGAAATGGGCAAGGTATTCATTGATGGGCCAAAAAGTTTTTAACCTAACCAAGTACTGATAACGTAATAAAACACGAAAACTAAAATGAGGTTCTTTTAATGAAATATGCATAAAACTCAGATCTTGAGCCCGATTCCCTGAGAAATAGTCAATTTTCGTCAAAAACATGAACGCTTGGATACGTGTAAGAGAAGATAGGCGGGAGTCTGCCATTTCAAAAGCGATAGCTTTTTATTTAGTAGATCGGTTTTTAGAAAAAATTATTGACGTTTTCAGCCGCCGCCTCCTTGAAAAATAAGTTGCTCTTTGCTAAAATTGAAAAATCTTTTTCGCTTTTTCTTAGTGTATGATTTGTTGAACGCTCAACCAAACTTTCTCCGCTTAAGCTAATAATACAGCATAATTCAAAAATAATCGAACAGTCTTTTATTGAGAATAACTCTTAATAGAAACAAGATAGAGAACTACGATTTTCATCGTTCAAAAGAGGAAAAAGCTGCATCGAATCTTGAATACGAGATTTTTATGACAATACTCACTCGTAGTCGCCAGACAATTTTTGTAATGCAAATTATTGTGTAATGTGAAAGTTAGAATTTTAATTTTTCGTAGTGCACCAGGATCGTTAACTAAAGTTCAATAGTCTGTGTAGGCTTGATGTCAAAAAGATTTAGCAAATCATTAGTTTTTAGCATTTTACTACGTGTTTTCGGCAGATTCTTGACGAAAAGACGACTTTCCCCGATTTTTTTGATGAAAAATCCACCTCCTAGACCTATTTAAAAAAAGACTAAATTAAAAAAAAACTTATTCAAACACCATGAGAAATGTTATTATAAAAATCTGGTATTCAAGATTCGATGTAGCTTTTTCTTTTCTTTTGAACGATTAAAACTGCAGCTCTTTAACTTGTTCCTATGAACAGTTATTCGCAATCAAAGACTGCTCGATTACTTTTGGATCACCCTGCATGCATTTCATGCTTTTTGTTTGAAACAGCATGTTGGAACGTGCGGCACTCAAGAGTCCTTCTATTTAATTAAGCTTTTTTCTATTATATATTCAGTCACTTTTATAAATTGAGCTCCGTTTTTAGAGAGTTTTTGACTCATCAAGCTTAAGACTCTTTCTTTCCGTTCAAAAACTGAGAATTCGAAAAACATGAGGCCTTGATGTCTTGCATCCTAACATGCTCTTTCAACCAAAAAATAAATAAATATATAAAGAGCCTGGTCTGAGAAATTCGAGTTGCTGAATCAGCTACTTTTGAACCTTGTTTGGTGAATATTTCTGACAAAGGTCATGGTATGGAGCTGAGAATTTTGTCATAGCTTCTCCACTACAGTCACAACATGTTCCCCAACTGTCATGGTATTAGAATGTTCCTGAAC